AAGTGTAGCCCTGTGATAGACTGGTGACCTGTCCAGGTGTCCCCTGTCTTCACCCTAAATCAGCTGGGATAGGCTCCAGCCCCCCACGACCCTAATGAGGATTAAGCGGTGTATAGATAATGGATGGATGGATGTTAATTGTGGACAGTCAGTATGATTAAACACAATTGATCAGGCAAATAGTGATGAATATCAAAGTGAGGTGTACATGTTAGTCTTCCTAAAATAGTGAGATACTATTTACTATTCTAAGCAGGTAATGATCAGCTCCTGTACCTCTGAACCCTGAGTGAGAATCACCCTGATGTGACTGAGATGCAGTTTTGAGGCTGAATCACATTAAGACTATACTTTCAGGGATCATTTCTATAGTTTCTGACTTGAGAAATGTGTTTCTAAAGTGTATGGTCTCGCCAACCACGATGATGAGTTGTGATATTCTCTTCTGAGCATGAAGCTGACAGAGAACAATGATTTATTTCATATGTTCTCTGTCATTGATGATTGTTCTTTGCTTCTCTGTGGAGCATTGATGAAGAGAATATGATCAGAGTGGAGTCAGAAGCTTGTGAAAGAATATGAATAATGATCTCATCTTTGTATGACAAAGCTCCTGTAGAGATAGATTAGCTCTTATTCAAACACTGCTGAGCATATGTGTGTTAATGACAGATGCAACAGAGACTGGACAAGACCTTAATGACTCTGTATAATTCAAGCTGTTTCTGGCCATATTTCTTACTGTCACATGTTTCCCCACTGTTGGCTCAAGGAGCTCAGTCACGCGGGAGGAGCTCGGAGTAGAGTCGCTGCTCCTCCACATCGAAAGGAGCCAGTCCCTGGGGAGATGTTCCAGGCGCGTCCCACCGGGAGGAGACCTCGGGGAAGACCCAGGACACGCTGGAGGGACTATGTCTCCCAGTTGGCCTGGGAACGCCTAGGGGTCCCCCCGGAAGACTTGGGGGAGGTGTGTGCGGATCAGGAAGTCTGGGCGGCTTTGCTAAGGCTGCTGCCTCCGCGACCCGACTCCGGATAAGCGGGAGAAGATGGATGGATGGATGGATATAAACAAACTGTTTTTGCTGAAAGTCATGAAAATGTTGGATTTCTTTGATTTTTTTATATGTTCCCCCCAAAAAAATAGTAAAACTGGATTGAGAATGGACAGTATTCTTCAAATGCCCACATGTTACCTG